TTACATGAGCAAGGAAAAGTAGGGTCGAAAGGAACGACTACTCCATCATTTCTTCAATTAACTGAACTATAAAATATCAGAAAATGTAAAGTTTCCTGGAAAATAAAAGGTGACTCTGATCAAATTGCTTGTTTTTTTTTTAATTAACAGTAAAATTCATAGATATTCAAATGTTTTATTTAATATAAAGAAAGATGCAGCAAATCTCAGTTTTAAAATTGGTAAACCAGTGAACATTTACAGCTTAATTAGAACTGCTTCTGATTAACTTTCCCTTTGGCATGAACTTTATTTGCAGCCATATTTTGCAGGTTTCATCAGCTAAGACATGCTTCTTTTGTCCATAGTCCAGATTAAGGAAAACTGTTATGCATTAAAAGCTAAAACTGAATCACTGATCTGATTTATAATCAGAATTCCTGAAATAAATCCAACTTTTTACCGGTTAAGACTGTATTTTAATGAGAAAAGGGGAACATCTTATAATTTTAGCTTCTTTTTTTGCCCATTTTCTCTCAAAGGTACAGTAAAAACAATTCTCATTTTGGTATTGGCACTGAAATGTGCATATTTGCTGTATATAATAATATTAATAATCATTCCATGTTACTTGCAGCCTTCACTGATGATGGGAAACTGTATGAAAAGTTAAACCTCTGCTCTGATGTCTGATGATACATATAGATTTGTATATTTTTTTAATTTTTATTAGACTGTATTCTAACAGCATAAAGGGAACATTTAACAAGTTTTGCTTCTTTCACATTGGAAAATAAAAGGGTTATGAAGAAAAGGATCTTCACTTTCCCTTAAATGTACAGTAAAAAAGTCTTCTTTGGTGCTGAAACTTTCAGATTTGCTGCACAGCTCTAAAAATAATAACTCGAGTAGTAATAATATCTGTTAACAGAGTAAATGAAATGTTGTTCTTTCTCACAGATGCACAGATTTTAAAAAAATATTCAAGCATACTGTATATGATGAACAGAAACCGACTGTGATTTATTACTTGGAAACAATTTGGTCTTATGTTGTGACTGTTTGCCTCCGTTGCAATTAATGAACCAATGAAATCATATCACAAATCTGGTTCACGTCAAACATTATGCAAATATACGATTAGTGCACTCCCTCAGAGATAGTCTGTGTTTTCCACAAACACACAAACACACACACAGTAACAAGAAGCTTGGCCTGCACTTGTGTAGGAGGATTAATGATATTCGGACTTCCCTGTCTGCCAGCTCAGCAGCACAGCTTTGGATTCATACGAACAGCCCTCAACGAGCAGACTATCATCCTTCTGCAGCGAGCGCTACAGCTGCTTCACCACACACAGACACGTACACATCCCTGCAGATGATTTCTACATGCATATGCACTTAACCACCTTCTGCCGCTCCAGAAATGTCAGTCAGTGTGAGCATAGAACAACAGCATTAAAGGTTACGAGACTCTGTGGTTGCTGTCAGTCAGAGATGAAGACGCTGCACCAGCGGATGACTATGTCCAAGTGCAACGCTGCACTTCATTCAAGTAGAAAAACCCAGAAAGCAAAGCAGAAAACACGGACAGCGATGAGTTTTAATGTACTGCTGCATAAAGAACATGTTCATGCCAGTAATTTCAACTGGCCCGCAGGCTGAGACGAGAGTTTCTAGAAGCTGTTTGTAATGACGACTGAAGAAGTATGTAGATTTGAGAGCTGTTGATTCTGTAAATCAGCTTACAGCAACCTGCACAGCTGCCTCAATGACATTTCAGTCAATTTAAAATACTCTAATTATCCCCCAAGAGGCAATTTGCACTTGAGATGGTGCGAGAAGACGACAGTCTCCGCTCTTTATCCTGCCCAAACAGCAGAGCAGGGAATTTGCTCGGCCCAAACACCACACCTGTTTCAAATGCAGAGAAAGGATGTAGACGCCGGGAGCTGAACCTCACTTGGAAAAAACAAATGTTCAATGAAACTTAAACGAGCCTGATTCCAGACCACTAAATCACTGCCAATGATGTTCAGCTACATCTAATACCACACTGATGGCCTTTCTGAGGTGAAGAAACGCCATAAACTGAAATTCTGCTCAAGTTCCACCCCAAAGAAGACCAGAAATCAAGACTAATCTTTGATAATTTAGGTTTTTATAAAACTCAACCCACGTCCCTTAATGAGCTTCTAAACAACTGTATTTACTGCAGTTGTCACAGTGTTGTCACAACAATCCAGGGCTACAACTAACATTTATCATTTTAACTGCTATGTGATAATCCTTGATTAATTGATTTGTTGTTTGGGCTATAAAAATGTCAGAAAATGGTGACAAATGTCAGTGTTTCCCAAAGGTCAAGATAACAGACATCTTGTTCAATCAAACACCCAAAGATATTCAGTTTACTATCAGAGAGGAGAAAAAGGAAAGCAAACGAAAATCTGAGAATTTAGAGCTTTTTTTATTATTATTTTTAAGTTAATCAAATTGATTGATTATCAAAAAAGTTGGTGATTGATTTAATAGCTGACAAGTGATTTAATTAATCCTCACAGCTCGACTAAAATCCAGTTCTGACTTTATATAGTATGACGTAGAACATCTATTTGCAAAAAGCATTTAGATTTCACATTACTGTCTATGGCAGGAAAGAAAAACATAATTAAGATGTTTGAAAAGGAAGTTTAAGTTTGTTTAGAAACTTTTAAGATTTTTTTTTTGGAGGGGGGGAGAACTTAATTCAGTGCTTTTTAAGTGCTTCTTAAGGTTTTTCAAGATCTCCAGACATCATGGCTGTAATGAAAGAATCAGCTATTGTACAACAAACGCTACTCATGGAATCAATGGAAAGAAATGGATCTATCAAAGGAAAGTAATCTGTCCTAAAGCAAAGCACAGTGGTGACGTAGACCAAACCTTTCCTCAAGTTCTCTGATGAAGCACAAATAAAAGTCTGTTAAGTTAAACGGACACTACTGCATGTGCTAAATAGAAAAATTGTGTGATTAATACAGCAACAACAACACAGGCTGTTACAATCCAACTCCGGCAACCAGCTAATTGGCTGGTTATGAATTATTCACTCACCGAGGGAACAGAGCAGCGTATCGCGTCTACCTGCTGAAACTAGGGGGAGAAACCTTGATCATCACTGGCTGCATGTGATCACAGATGGTGGGACATCTGAAGCAGAGAGGCCGGCCTGAGACATCCATGCAGTCAACCATATCGCTGTTCCAACTATAGAAACAAACCACGTCCCGGTACTGGAGCTGCAAGAGGTTCCTACTGGTGAAATACAGCTGAATCTTGATGCAATGCCCAAAAAACTGCCAACAGATTTACTCTAAATGTTTTCTTTAAAATAAAAATCACCACAGTGGCACTTTTTTTTTTTTATCAGAGCCAGAAGCTGTCAAAACTGGAAAAATTCTCAGGTTTTCTACTTTCTGACAGTCCTCGAACTAGCCATGAGCCATGTGTAGATTCACCTGGAAAAGTTACAAATAATCTTAAAATCATGATATTTTACCACAACAACCAAAAAAAAAAAAACCTGTTGTCCTCCGACACAACTGAGAAGCCACGACTGACTAAGCTGACAAAAATTCAGAGTTGTCAGTTGAACTGCAGGATGTGTTTAAAGAGAGCAGAGAGAGGACGACAAGATTGGCTGAAAGGGAAGTAAAACATACAGGATTGATAAAGTAAATGCAGCTCAAAAATTCTGCAATTTTTTTTTTTAAAGATACCTTCATCCCGGTGAAATATCTTTCCAGGTCAGTAGAAGTTGTAAAAATGTGTGTCAAGCCTCCATTTTTCCCAGTATTACTAACACTTGTGGGATTTTGTGTACATGCTGATCCCAGTTTTTTCAATTTCTGTAAAGCAAATAATCAAAGAAATTCAACTTTTATTCCTATTTTTTTTATGATTTATGCACTAAATACTTCTGAGTTATCATTTTTCTAGTCATGGTTGTGTTGTCTCCATACAGGTGCAGGACTTGCAAGGAAAAATGAGCCCACAGTCAGTAAAAATGTGACAGAAATCAGTAAAAAAAAATTCCCAGAAACTGTTTGGAGTTCAGAGGGTTAACTAACATGAGTGTCATCAGATATCTACTATAAAAAAATGCATGGACGCAGCTGAAAACGACTGACCATCTAGACTGCTTGGTAACACGCACCTGGACAGCTCGGGAGGGTTTTCATACCTGAACAGATGCAGTACAGTTAATAAGCACTTACAGCCTAATGCAGGAAAATACAACATCAAACCGAGCTACGGATTCAAAAATAGACTGAAACAACACCTCAGGAACGGTCCCAGTCCACCAAAATGACTCATGCAGCCTTTTATGCAGCTGAAAAATCACACTTTGGGTTTGACAAGCGCTGAGTGATAAATGCCAACCTGCTGTTTGAACATACAGTACATCAGAAGGGCCTGCATCAGAAAATATGAGCCGGAGAGGCCCCCCCTCCAAAAAAAAAAGAGCACTGCAGCATTTAAACTAATGCAGAAATGTGGGATGTTGCAGCTGCAGTACAGTGTGTGTATGTGTGTGCGTGTGTGTGTGTGTGTTAACCTATGAGCTGAATGTGTGTGCAGGGACCGGACAGTGCAGCAGCTTCTGCAGAGCGGGCCCATGTGACAGATGGATGCTATAACGGAATTAGAGACAAGAAAAATCACAAGGGCCCATTATCACCAAGCCCTCTCTGCCTGACAACAAGGATTAAAGGCGCACTACCACCACCACCACCATCATCATCATCATCATCATCATCATCATGAGAGCAGCGTCTCCCCCTGCATTCAGCACAGCCGCATCCACCAAAAAAAACACCCGCAATTGTCACCCGCCTCCCGTTTCCCCGCATTCAGAACACGCAAATGCAAAAAAAACAAAAAAAAACTGCACCCCGGCGTGATGTCAGAGAGGCAGGTGCTGGTGACGAGCCCCGGCCGCACCACGCGTTTCATGACGGGGCTGCTTTCACTAACCTGTCTGTCCTTTGCCCAGCGTCTTCTCCAGGCGGTACGGTCCCACATAGTTGGCGTAATGCCCGCTGTTGGCGTCCTTGCCCGTCGATGACATGTTTCGGGGTGAAACGACTCGCCGGGAGCAATTTCTCTTGCGGGTGTCCGAGCGGGACGCGTCTCTGGAGCGAAAAGCGCAATTCCGCGGCGCAGTGGAGTTCGCCTCGCTCGGCGTTTCCGTCTATGAGGCTGCTGGTCGCTGCAATATTCGCGTCCCCGTGCGTGCGTGCGCGTGTGTGTGTGTGTGTGTGTATGTGTGCGTGCGTATGTCTCCAGTGCCGGTGCTTCACGGTGTCTCTCCGCAGGTTCGGTCCTCGGTGCGGCTCAGATTGCGGTTTTGAACCTGGGTGTCATGATGTTGGTGCCGGAGGAGCGGTGCGCTGCAGCCCCGTTGGGTGTGATCTGATGATGGGACAGCATCTACTGCCGCTGCTGCCGCTCCAGCAGCCTGCGTCAAACCACGGCCAGTCTTAGAGGACACTTCCGGGAGCCCCTTTCAAAACACAAGCACGTTAAGTCACCGACAGGCGATTGTTGGTTTGTGAATTAGCACACAAGTGAAAATGGAAAACAGGCCACTTTCCTGAAAACAGACATGTTTCTGATTATTTACAGTTGTTTTAAAATAGATGCATAAAACTGATATACTCTTATAATATTGTGTAAGATGTTTTATTAGGTTAACTCTGCAACTATCAATCACCATATTTTCACTACAGGTCAATCTGCAGGTTATTTCTATCAGAGGTAATCATTTGGTCAACTACAATTACAAACCACAGTGTCAACCCCTTACACTGCTTCTTGTACACAGTCCAAAAGCTCAATAACAATATCAGGCTGAATATCACATAAGACAAGCAACTAGTCCTCATATATGACAAGTTGTGAAGTTCTAAACTTTAGCAACTAATTTTGTGATAATATTTCTATCTGATTTCCTTGGTTTTTCTTTAGGAATATGTTTGAGTCTTGGTAGGATTGAGCTGTATTTATTTTAAATCGCATTGTGATGATTTTTGACAAGCACTGCAATTTGAGTCACGATTTTAGCGGGAATGGAAAGTTTTGCTTTTTGTCACCACTTATTCAAATATGAAAATGATTATGTCCATTTTGCTGTAGCCATTATCTACCGCTTAATCCTCACTAGGGTCATGGGGGGCTGGAGTCTATCCCAGCTGACTTAGGGTGAAGGCAGGGGACACCCTGGACAGGTCACCAGTCTATCACAGGGCTACACTTAGAGACAGACAACCAAGCACACTCACATTCACACCTACGGACAATTTAGAATCACCAATTAACCTCAACATGTTTTTGGACCTTGTGGGAGGAAGTCGGAGAACCTGGAGAGAACCGACGCTGCACGGGGAGAACATGCAAACTCCACGCAGAAAGATCCTGGGTGTCCTCGTGAACCGGCAACCTTCTTGCTGTGAGGCAACGATGCTAACCACCTTGCAGTTGGAACCAAATTACCAAATTCCCTAATGTCTGGAAAATAGAATTTGTATGAAATATGAGCTCTATTTTATAACTGTATGCAGTAATACAACCAGTTTTCAAATATGATAAGCTCTACAGTAATGACAATATTCATAACATTTTTGATGTCTTGGTATAGCAACTTGGCAGATTTTCACTTTGTCGCTGGAAATTACAGATTTTAGTAACACAACACTGCATTGACTGATCTTGTTCATTTAATTTCTTGATAAATAAGATCTTAAAATTCTGGCATTTTGGAGCAATTTAAAATATACAAAGTAAATCACTGACTTTAATCAGTGTAAAGAATCAACCACATACATTATTATTATTGTAACACAAAACTGCATTTATTTTCATAATTTTTATGATTTTTTTAGTGAGGGCTGATGCTTTGAAGTTTAAAACCTTCTTTCCCACAGTTTTCAGTCATATAGAGCAACATCGTTTTATTTTGAAGGCCAATCCTCCTGCTTTCCGCTGCCATCTCGGCTTGACGCAGCTGCTTTAATTAGGGGCCACGCATGCGCACATATTTCGCATCGCAGGGGTTTTTTTGATTGAATTGGGGTCGAGATGACAGTGAGACATGAAAGGCTGCCACTGTTCAGAACTTCTCTGTTTTAAATCTATAAATACAACAAATATGGTGCAAAATGGAAAAAAAAATAAGGCCACAAACATCCAGAAGTTTTCCAAAAAGACTCTTTGCACTTCCTCATCACTGTAATAAACTGAAAAAAATCATTTATGCCCTGTTTTCATGCACACATCTGATCACTTTATTTATAAACTACTTGTTTCATCCATTTATTCCAACTCTGAGTTATTAGCTGAAGGTGAGACATCTTTATTTGTCACTGTGGGTGGCTTGTGTGTCTCTGTGTGTTAGTGTGTGTGTGGTGTGTGTGTGTGTGTGTGTGTGTGTGTGTGTGGTGGTGGAGCTGGTGGGGGACTGAACATGTTACACGCTGGGACACTTTCACTTGATTAAACCAGCGGTGGGTGACAACGACCATCTATCTGTCTCATCACTCCTTCACAACAAAAGCCTTTTGACCCAGCACGCTCAGTGGCAGATGGGCCCCCCCCACCTCCACCGTCCCTACCTCCCACTCCTCCTTCTGCCTCCCTCTAACCTCCCCCACCATCAAATCCATGTCCCTAACAAAGATGAGGGGGGCTTCGTTTTACCAGACCTGCTCGCCACGGGACAGCTTTCCCTCAAATTACTTCCTGTTAATTAATGTAAAACCACCCCACACCCCCCACACCCCACCCTCCATCACAGGGGAAGGCTGAGACTTCGGCCCACAGATCAATCAGGAGTCTTCTTGTGGACTCGTGCCACCATGCGAGCTCTCCAGCAGCCTGATCTCTGGCGTCTGATCCCCCGGTGGCTGTTTGACAGCTGCAGAAGCCGTTGTGGCTGTAAAGCTGCACCGTCCTAATCACCTCCATGTGAAATAATCTGCCATAATCAGCCAGGCCTCTGAGGAGAGACACACGACTAATGACAGTGTCAAAATATCTCTTTCACCACAGTGTTTGACGATTCAGAGGACACCACAGCTGGCTGTTTAGTGACAGTGCATTTTAAATCATACTAATCATACTAACATGAACTCCATCAAATTTCTTCTTTGTTTTTGAATTTGGCAAATATTGTTTACAAGGGTACTTCAGAAAGTTCTTAGCGTCAGCTGTGACACATGACTCTTCTTCCACACAAAATGACACGACGGCGTGACGCTACATCAGTCAACTGGTTGTTTCAATTGGGAACAACAAGGAATGTAAAAATTAAGACGTTAAAAAGCACTGCTACTACAAATTATGCAAGAGACGAATGTTGGTATAAAATGTAAAAATGCATAAGAATTTTTTTTTGGAAATGATTTGTTTCAATCAAGATAATTGTTACAGCTGATTTAATTTCAAACTCTGAATGTAACTTGCTCCAGACCACGTTGTCTCCACAGCATTAGTTACCATTGCAGTCTAGCAGGTCAAAAAAAAGAGCACATTTTGTGAAACTCAAAACTCAGGCTTTAGGCTCAACACACCTTGCTTACCCACTAATTCCACTTTGTGGTACTGGTGACAAAATGAGGAGTTTCATGTATGCTGTAACACTGCTCAGACTGTTTTTGCAGGTTTCTTTATCTCTCAACTATGTTAACTGGTCATTTAAGCACAAAACGTCCCTGGGTGGGCTCGAACCACCAACCTTTCAGTAAACAGCCGAATGCGCTGACCGATTGCACCACAGAGACATCTACTGCCTTTAAATGGTGGCGAGATCAGGCATCCAGTTCACTGCATCACCTGTCACCAAGGGGCATAAGTCCTATTGTAGAGCATAACTGTGTACTATAAAGCCTTCTATCACTGTCCATGAAAACTCAAATGTTTAAAGCAATCAGAAAAAAGAAGAGGAAAGCTTCGAGCTGGCTGCGGTTGCTCCAAGACCATGCTTTCATGTACACAGCACAGGTGGCAGAAGCAGCCAAATGTTGCTTTAAACTGTTGTCCAAAGCACCTTATTCACCCGATTTGCACCATCTGACATCTGTTTCCCAAACTGAGATCGTCCTTGCATAGTCGCCATTTTCAGAGTTCTGATATCTATGCTGTTGAGGAGTATCTTGAGACTCAACATGGGACCTTTTTTTGCAAAGGGATAGAGAAGCTTGAACATCAGTAGACCAAGTGCACTGAAGTTAAGGAAGACTATGCTGAAAAATAATGAACAATCTTTCACATTTTCTTGTGACACTGAGAAGTTTTCGAAGTATTCTACAGAGTTACTTTCCAAGCATGGTCTTCCTGTTTGAGAGCATTACTTCTTTAGTGGTCTTTTAAGCACAAGACGTCCCTGGGTGGGCTTGAACGACCAACCTTTCGGTTAACAGCCGAATGCACAAAGGTGGCTGTCTTTTAACCTGCCAGATCACCTTGGAAACTTGTACTGTTGAGCTAACCTGGTTGGGACGAGGTTTTCTTTGGAGTTTTGGATTTAAATGGCTTGTTAATGATCCAAGATTGACATGCCCCAAGGTGTGAATGGTTTTGAAACTGTCAGCTGAGGTAAGACAAGGCAAGGTAACTGCTGTATACGGCATTGTAGCAAGATTATTTAAGGATGCGTGATCTTGCCACCGTGATCTTGCCACCGTTTAAAGGCCATGGATGTCTCAGTTTTAAAACCATTCACACCTCGAGGCATGTCAGTCTTGGGTCATTAACAGGCAAATTAGCCATGTGCTTTGGGGAAGAGAAACAAATTCTAGGGACTCACAACCATTCAGTTAGATCTGGGGAACTGAGGCTTGATAGTGAAATGCTTTTCAAAACTATACTCAAAAAGATAGAATTCTACCATTTTTCCTGAAGCATAATTTCTTAGCAAGCATCAAATTGTAATCACAGAATTTCTATTATTTAGCACAAATGCCCTTGGATGGTCTTGACTTAGAACCATTTCAGTTCACAGCCGAATGCGCTGAGTGATGACGCCGCTGACAGCTGCTGTCAAACAGAAATTGGCATAGGTGTGAAGTCTTGTTTCAATACACACCTGTGCTTGTTATTTACATGTAGAAGACATAGTTTGAAGTGGCTTCACTTAGACAGATGGACTAAACAAGTTTTCTTTCTGTATTAACAGTCAAA